GTGATTTACTGCTTGTAGAATTTCTGACTATTGATTCATAGTACAAAATGTAGAGGAGTTTGTTGAGTTTAGCTCACAACTGACGTGCCCAGTTTTTCTGAAAATCGGTCACAATGGCGCACAAATATTTTACTCCCTAATATCTTATAAAGCTTGAATATTAGCACTAACCTTTATGTTCAAAATTCCTTTCCTCATACAACTTTGTCTACTTTTATATCTCTCTTTTTCTACCCACCTGTTGTTTGTATACTACTGTGAATTGTGGGGACTTGAACTAATGCACTTGTGTGTGAGGTTCAACGTTGATTTTATCAGTCAGCCAGTCTAGTTTTATTGAAAGAAAACAACCATGTTGTACAATCCAATGATTTCTTCAAACCTGGGTTAATAAAACACTGATAAACTAACTGGTTACCTTTAACGTTCTCCACAGGATGCTTAACTCAGTCTAATCGTAAGTAGAAAGCACAACAATCGGAAAGAAGGACTACGGCATATAAACAGAGTCTGTAGTCGTGAATCTGCTACGTATTGTATTTCAGTGTTGGTAGTGAAAAGTTAGAGGATGGAAAACTCGTTCTTGCTGGTACACATCAGCGAGAAAACTCATTTCCCCTTATTGCAAACTTGGTTGACAGACTGACCACGGTTTAGCAGTATGGAATTGACAGCGATGTCGATCACTATCCAGTGGCTGATTTGTGTACGTAATCCTACCATAGTAATGAAGTCTGTAACTTTAGCTCTGAATTGTTTATATTCGGATCTATAAGAGGATATGAACTTCCTCAAGATTGCAGGTATGCTTTGTCGATGAGTGCTGGCAAGTGCGAAACGTAGGTACAAGACTTTGTGTTGGTTGATAACTAATATCTTACATCAAATAAAATGAGAATTTTGCTCAATTATTATTATATTGCACCAAAGGTTCACTTGGGCAAACATTTTTTAAATGTCGTAAAGTAAATACAACAAATAAATGTTTTTTTTATTGTTTTGGTGCGGATCGTACCAGCCTATCATAGAAGCATGACATGACACACTGGACGAAAACCAACAGATAATGTAGATGAAGGAGGCTGGCTGTTTATTAGTTATCTATAATAAAATAGTAACGGGATGATAATTTAAAGAGATATACAGCTACTTGTTTATATCGATTTCAAACCCATAGCATGAAACATGACTGTTCTGTAAGTGGATGAGAACTTATTGAGCCAGCTTTATGAAAACATCAGATAAAAAGATGAAAAGAACCAGTTTAGAGTTAACAGGAAAAATGATGATAGTCAACTATTATTTTGTTCTTAGAATTCTTTCACTTTAGAATCTTTCGTTCCATTGAAAGGGTAACTGATCAGTCAGTCATCATAAATATGAGGATTGACATTGCTGCGTAACAATCCAAGTTGCCACACCACCACCACCACACCACACCATGTTCAGATAGAAAACACCAAAGTGAAAGATGAACAAATCAAAAAGAAAGTAATCAAAATTAATGGAAAGTTGTAAAGTGAAAACAAGAAGGCATGAAACAATTATGAAATTCAGTAGAACAATGAAGACGAAAGTAATGTGTGAATGCATGTGAACTGATAGATCGACTCTCAGTCATTATATCACCACCGACTTCATTCGTCATGTAAACACTAACCTGGAAGTTTGCAGTTTCCTTCACATCTGAGACCAAGAGTCAAAGACTTCATGAACTGATGTCATATATTAGTCTGACTTCCTTCAACCTAATGCATACCACTTGAGCCACTTGAGCCGAAATTGTCTGACGAGACAGACAGTGAGTGACTCAGCATACCTAGCACATGTCTCAGACATGTGTGTCGTAGAAGCTTCACAACTTCGTCAACTGACTTAACTCTCCCACTGACAACTGTACAACTGACTTCTGTGGAAGTAGTGTGGTGCTGTCACAATGCATGGTCATTGCTACAAACGTGATGGTGATCGAATACTTGAGGTCTCCACATTCCCTTCAACTCAAGTGACCACATTTGACAGGCGTGTAGTAGAACAGAGTGAACTGCAGTGCAGAACAGATAATGAGATATTGAAGGGACCCATCAATGGCGTACGTTGTACAAGGCCGATCGAGATCTGCGTATCCATGTCAGTAGTTCGATCGTCACTGACTCATCTCAAAACACTCACAAATTACCACTCAGTGTGTCCAGAAGCCTGTGCGTTCGGTTAGCATCTTCATGTAACGGGACTGTCATGTATGCTCTGTCTGTCTATTAAGCAGTGTGTTGTGACGATATCGATCCCTGTGAAATTAGACTAGAGGAGGGAGACCTAGACAGGCATAAATGAGTGAAGAGAGTGACCAGATTTTACAGACAACACTCAGAGGGAACAACTCATCTGACAGCACAACATGGTCTGAAACACATCCACGTGTGTTGGAATTCAGCACCTTCAACAAGTTGATGCACTCACGTGGGATGTGTTTCAGTGAGCGACGCCAGCACGGAGATTGTCGATGCTGGGTTTCTAATTCTCCCTTCACGTCAGGGAATGCAGATAGTATCAGTCACCTGTGAATATGCGTGTGTTGTAGAAGGTGGTGATGGTGGTGGTGGGAAATGTGGTGGATAGACTGACGATCATATCTGATAGTTGGATTGTTTTGTCGGTTTTGTTGTTTGTGTGCTAAGCTTAGAAGTTGAATGAATATATAGAGTAGAATAACAGACACAATGTTTGTCGGGGAGATTACTGTGGTTACCATTTTTTCCCAAAGACTGTTCCAATCAGGCCAGTCAGAAGGGGTTATGTCTGATTTCTGTATGTTAGTTAATGGATCATCTTTTTGATCCGAAATCCTCCGATCACCGTTTTTAAATACCTCTGGTACTATACCACCTCAACCTACTGTATTTTCTCATTTGTGTTTTCCTACATCCTTGTCGATTCCGGTAGGAGTTTGGAGGTTTATTTCAGTGTTCTTATGAGGATCCAACTAGATAGCGGGTAGTGAAATATTAGCTGAAGTTCAGGTGAACTATTTCTTGTAGTGTTTTATCCATCACTTTCAGTCACCTCTCTTCTGAGTGAATCACAGACTCATCCTTCTCTGTTATGATATCAATAAACATTGACATTTACCCCCCAGTTCCCTTGAAATGTTTGAATAACTTCTTGCTGTTACCTGTCACCGCACATCGTTTAATTTTGAGGAAGTTTGCTGAGATCTACTGATTCTTTCTTTCTTCTTTCTTAGAGTCATATATGCCTTTAACGCTGTTTCTAAAGATGGTTGAGGAAGACACCAAGCGTTTTGTAGATAAGTGTTTTGTTCTGTTTCAATAGCTATCTTGTCAGAACTATTGACAAACAGGTATTTACGTGGATCACTACTATCCAGTGATGTTGAACTTGTCTATTCAATGGGAATTAAAGTGTTTCATTTATACTATATCCACAATATTTATCTTCAAAACTAGTTGTCAATTATTTTTCTCTATGCGATAATGTGGAAACTTATTATTGAAAGAAATAATGATGTTCGACCTTATTCGATACCTAACAGATTAACAAGCTTTTGAAGTGCTTAGAGTGTAATAAATGACACTGAGGTCAAATGCAAACGGTGGACCCAGTTACATCGAACAAGTTGTGTCAAACAGTTACTAAATTCGGATACTTGGTGTGGTTTATCGCAGCATTTGTTACTACTTGACTGAAAACAAAATATTTAATCTCCGCTTCTCATGAATCAAAATTCCTTTGAAGTTACGGATGTGCATAGCTAACGATTACCAATCAAGATGAAGTTCTATGAATATGGCTTAATTATGACTGGTTTCTAACAATACAACAATTTAGTAAGTTTCTTACTGTACATGCTTTAGGTTTATACAAAAGATTTACAGGCAACATAAAGTCACTAGCACTTTGGGTTTGTAAACACTGTGTTGCATGGAATAACTGGAAGTTTTACTTATGGGTAGTATTTTAAGCAACATAAACTAAAGAGATGAGTCTGTAATTGTCAGATATTGATAATGAGTGATTTTCGGAGTGAGAACAGTTTTGTAGTACTTCGACAGTAGAAGAAAAATAACTGGGGAAGCAAACTTATATCTCACCAATACAACAGACTTCAGAAGTGGATAAAAGCAGTAGGTTTTTGATCAACGTATTAATCAGAAGTTTACACTGTTTTATTTCCCTCACTATGTTTACGAGTTCAGATTCTTAGGATTTAGCAACCAAGTGATCTATCAGTCGGTTGTTGCAAGACTGATGTAGCTTCAATAGCTACAATGGGTCCTAACTATTCTTAATTCGAAAAGATGGCACAGTGTAAATGTTTTCTAGTGATTTATTTTCCTTCATAACTAGACAGCTGTCTACTTCTCTAACACTAATTCATGTTTACCTTATTAACAAGCAATGACCCAATTATGGACCTTTTGTTTTACATTTAAACTACGTTCTTGGGACTATAAACCACGTTTGGTGAGTGCGAAGGTTATCTTAATCCCGAGATTAATGGATCTTAAGGGACTAAGTTTAATGAAGACAGGAAGAATACCAACTGCCACCTAGTGAATGCGAACTTCAAATTCACCATTTAATGTCTATTGATAATAATAATAATAATAATAATAATAATTGTAATTTAGGTAACAAGGGCTGGAGGAAACTTCGTTTACTCTGTTAGTCATACTTTCATCCCACGAACCGCCATTATCATTATTACTTTTATTGTTATTGTGCTCACCGTTATTTGTCTGTATGTCTGCAGTTATTGGTTGAAAACTTAACCAATGAGATTGAATTTGTGTCTCACTTTAACATTTTACCAAGTTGAATCAACAACAAACAAAACAATAGCAGGTGGCACACTTCACAAGTATGGATAGAAATCAAGACACAGGAAGTAGGTAGGTAGGTAGGTGGCTGGTAGGTAGACTGACACACATAGTGTTAAAATGTGTATATAAAAAAGGAATTCGGTAGTAGTCTTCTTTAACAACTTTCTAAAGTAATATAGATTTAATCATAGTACAATGCGTGAGATTGTTCATCTTCAAGTTGGACAGTGCGGTAACCAAATCGGATCTAAGGTAAATTGCTTTTAAAAAAAATGGACGCTAATCTAAATAAATTAACTCGCTTATTCATTTATATACTCTAGGGTATAGGTAACGCTTCATAGGTTTGGGCACTCAGCTTTCAACTGGTGGGTTATGGGATTGGCATTAAAGCAAACATTCATATAATTGACCTGGTTCATCACTTAGTTTGGAACGTGTATATGATTTTTTCAGTTACTGTAAGGGGCCAGCCTAGCAACAACTAAATTAGCCAATCAAAACTACTCTATTTTATGGAAATCTGCCTTTCGAACAGAAACGAGGAAACCTAATTGGTTATTTCGATTGACGTTAAGGTGGCTTTTAAAGTCACCGAAAAAACTGGACAACTTCAGGGCGAATTCGAAGGCCACCGTTACAACTGCTGAGATAACCAATTAGGCTTCTGTATTTTGTGAAAAACTACCTTTCTAACCGGAATACCGAAACCCGATTGTTTATATTACAGCAGTTGCAGACGTTTAAAGCCCCCAATTTTAAGGGCCACCCTGGCAACTGCTGTTATAACCAAACAGGTTTCGGCATTCTGCTTAGAAAGATGGTTTTTCATAAAATATAAAAACCTAACTGATTATCTCAGCAGCTACCAAGGTCGCCTTTAAAGTAACTTGATTTCATACGCTGCATTTCTTATTAGTTATAGGCACATATATCCAGTTATATATTTGATCTCATGTTGGCGATTAGTAGCTACACAAAGCTAACTTTTTAATTTAGTCTGGATGTAAATTTATTTCGTCATGTATTGTTAAAGGCGTAAGTGATTCCCGTATTCTCATTAGAATGCTTATTGGTAGAAAAAGATTTTACCGATTTTTTTCCATCAGGCTTGCTACTCACTGTATTTGAATCAACAACACATTGGCTAAAGATTCGGGTATGCATCTCGCTAAATAGAAATAGATTTTAACCTAATTAGCTTCTTATTTTGTATCCATTCTTGTTGGGCGTTAGCAGTACGCTATCAATGGTTTTCCATCAGACCGGGTCAAGTTTGTTCACTCTAAAGCTTCTCACCACTCCATCTTTCTTCATTATCATAAAGCATGTACACTGACATGTTCAGATAACCCAGATAAAAACGAAAAATATAAGTTCTTAAACGGCATTTTGTTATTGCAAAACAAACTATTATCATAATTATTGCCACGTGTGTATATTTCAGTTTTGGGAGGTGATTTCCGATGAGCATGGAATCGATCCAACAGGAGCATATCGTGGTGATTCAGACCTACAGCTGGAACGTATCACTGTTTATTATAATGAAGCTATGGGAGGAAAATATGTTCCACGAGCGATACTTGTTGATTTGGAACCAGGAACAATGGATAGCGTCCGTGCAGGTCCATTCGGCCAGCTATTTCGTCCAGATAATTTTGTGTTTGGACAGAGTGGTGCAGGAAATAACTGGGCAAAAGGTCACTATACTGAAGGTGCCGAACTGGTTGATTCCGTACTGGATGTCATGCGTAAGGAGGCAGAGAACACGGATTCCCTTCAGGGATTCCAACTAACTCATTCACTTGGTGGTGGAACTGGTTCTGGTATGGGGACACTGTTGATCTCGAAAATTCGTGAAGAATATCCTGATCGAATAATGAATACATTTTCAGTTGTCCCGTCGCCTAAGGTAAGTGATTAACTTATAAAAATGTTTTTAATGATGGCACTCACCTTCAGTTCATTGTTATTCAAGTACCATACAGTCTTCTTTGAGTCAGATTAATTTATAGTTCAACGTTTATTGGCTAGAGGATATGGACTTGGAGTTGGTGTGTCAAAGGTCCTTATTAGACAATCGACAAACAAACACACCTTGAAAGTGTGTCCTGCAAAATTAAGCGGAAAATGTTTGGTTACAACATTCATACATCAACTAAAAAGTAAATCTGTAGGTGTACTTCTGTCAATAAGATTTTAGAATCCATAGCGTATACAGATGTTGATTGTTGAAGAGGTTGGTATAAAAATGCGGGTTCAGTAACTGTACCTAATTAGAAATTCATTTTCAAAATAGTTTTTTCCAGCACTTGGCTATCCCACAGTCACTCTAACAACTGAAAACATGGTGCCAGATAAGAATATTTGAGTCAGCTTATAGGTCGCCCTAGCAACTACTGAAATAACCAATTAGGTTTTTGTTTTTCAGCTGAGAAGAAAGTTTTTCATAAAATAGAACAACATAACTGGTTATCACCAGGTATTAGGATGAGTTTTAAAGTAACTCGGTTATTTTTGCTACTAAAATATGAATGGGTAGGCGGTGCATACTAAAATATACTGAAATTAGTAATCAAAAATCGTTTGTCTCAAGTCGGGGCATACGCGGACATATGGAAATGGAGACCAATCAACAACAGGAAATTAAAAGTAATAACAAAGATAACTGTTAACATCCAAAACATCATAAAAGGAAAATAAATCTGGTAATATAATGCTGAAGTATAAAGAGAGTTTGATCTAAAAGTAGTGGTGACCGTTTTCCACTGTCAGGTATTAGCTTACTATCCAACCAAAAGTTGCAAGCCATAGTATGAAATTAGGAGTTTTCATTATGATAGATAAACCAGAAGACAATTTTATAGAGAGGCTATTAAAAATTATGTCTTCCGTAGTGGCTAAAATGCATGTCTGTTATATATATATATATATATATATATATATATATATATATATATATATATATATATATATATATATATATATAAGCAGAGTAAACTAATGTTTGTTATAAATACAGGTTTCAGATACTGTTGTTGAACCATACAATGCTACACTCTCCGTCCATCAACTCGTTGAAAACACTGATGAAACCTTCTGCATCGACAACGAAGCACTCTATGATATTTGCTTCAGAACACTAAAGTTAACCAACCCAACATACGGTGACTTGAACCACTTGGTCAGTGCAACGATGTCTGGAGTGACAACGTGCTTGAGATTCCCTGGTCAGTTGAATGCCGATCTGCGTAAACTGGCAGTGAACATGGTTCCGTTCCCACGTCTTCATTTCTTCATGCCTGGTTTCGCGCCACTCACTAGTCGTGGCAGCCAGCAATATCGTGCACTGACTGTGCCAGAACTCACTCAGCAAATGTTTGATGCTAAGAATATGATGGCTGCTTGTGATCCTCGACATGGACGTTATTTGACTGTAGCTGCCATCTTTCGTGGACGTATGTCAATGCGTGAAGTAGATGAACAGATGATGAATGTGCAGAATAAGAATTCGAGCTACTTCGTTGAGTGGATTCCGAATAATGTGAAGACAGCCGTTTGTGACATTCCACCACGTGGATTGAAGATGTCTGTGACGTTCATTGGTAATAGCACTGCTATTCAAGAGTTGTTCAAGCGTGTTTCTGAGCAGTTCACTGCTATGTTTCGTCGTAAAGCATTTTTGCACTGGTACACAGGTGAAGGTATGGACGAAATGGAGTTCACTGAGGCTGAATCGAATATGAATGATTTGGTGAGTGAATATCAACAATACCAAGATGCGACAGTCGATGATGGTGAATTTGAATAGGATACTTGATTTTTATGTTCACTTGTACGCTGTAAACTAACCGTGTGTAAATTGACAACAGTTCGGGATTATTTTGATGTTTTTGTTACTTCCAAGTAGTTGAATACGTTCATGAAAATTTTACTGGATGTCATATTTAAAATACGAAAGGTGGGATCTGTATTTTCCCATTAGCCAATCGCTGAACCAATAAAATCCTTTTTTATTAATACTGAAGTTATTATATTACCTCGGTTGAATGCACTTTTTGGGATATTAAGGACAACTTTTGGTTGTTTGAAGGATGAAGACAGTATTAACTTAAGGCAGAAGTTCCTAAACGTCTGCTTCTGAGTTTCTGGAGCAACAAGATCAGGATACCGAGAAACTAAATATGACCCGGCAACCTGACTCTAATTCTAGGAAAATAGATACTCAAAGTAATTCGACAAATAAGAAATTTACTTTTTAATTCAGCCTTCAACATTTGCACAGAGGATAATGTCTTATTTTCTGGTTTTTTTTCATAAACGATCGCTAGTTATGAATATTCATATCAGGACAGAATTTCGAAAATTTCTAGTCTAGGATTTTGATAGTTAGCCAGATAGATTTAGTGTACTTTGCATTAAAATTTGTAGCCTTTTTCCTGTGGAGATGATATATGCGTTGCTTGCTGCTAAGGCAGTTTTAAGGTCCATGTTTATCAAGTTTTTAAACACGTGAAAGCGTCATTTCGAATTTTCTACCTAAGCGAGTAAGCTGTATGGAATGTAGTCAGACTTCTTGATCAGAATGAACAGTTTATTTTGCCGGTGCATGATTAGAGGGTCATCCGTGTTTCATATTAGGCATCATCTGTTGAAATTTAAAAAAATGCTTTGTGATTTCAGTCCTCGAAATGGACTGTATCTAGATAGTTGTCTATACGAAGAATAAATCATATACAAACCCGTTTCAGAACACATAAGTCCAATATTTTGGTAAAATAAAACCAGCGATAAAATTATTCTTTCCAATGGCTATTGAAACAACAACGATAAGCTAAACTACTGAAAACAGTGCAAGATATCAGATGACCCTGATAACTTGAAAAAGGTGACATAATTCAATTTTAAAATACCCATAATAATACATTTCATTTGCCCCTGATGTACGAAATACTTTGAGATAATAAAAATGCTATTTGATATGATAGTTTTGTAAATGTATAAGCAACTATTACCTTGATAACAAGGGTTCAAAGATCTTCAGACTTCAACGTAAGGCTCGCACTGATGAGGACGTTTACTATAACACTGAAACATTTGCTAACCAAAAAATCTAAATTGAAAAACAGCTCAATCAGAATTAGCTTCACAAATGCAATGTTCAGATGAAATTTAAAATCTTTTGCCTTTAAGCTTCCTAAAGTTGTTGACACGATATTGTTTAGCCCATAGATCAACTAGACTTTCGATGTAAAATGAAATCAACGGGTGGATGAGACAAATGTAGAAGTCAGGATGGTTGTTTTCTACTTATGAACTGTGACTTATATTTGCTCAAATACTTTCTATCGTATGAAAATCACATGCTCACTAAGTCATACGTTCGCCTTCCTACTGGTACTAAGAGAAGTAAGATAATAGGACACTTACCTTTGAATAGTAGATAGTATAGATTAGGTACTTACAGGAGTTACTTTTTTAGGTTGGTATGGCTTTTGATCCTGTTTTCATCTAATGGTTTCGACAAATACTGCGCGTTGACTATTAGATGTTATAAATCTCAACCTGTTTAAAAATGCAACAATTTCAAAGTTTCACACAGTACTCTTATCAAGGTCCATTCAATAGACGAGTTTGGAACTATTCCCAACAGAGACATATGAATGACATTAAATCACTGCTCACTTTTGTTTCAGTTTAGTTTCCGTTTTAACACGATGATAAGTTATTCACTGGGGAACTGTACAGCATTCTGGTAACCAGACATAGAAGCCATAAATTTGACCTTGATTGTGTGGGAATCTCAAATTCTAGTGAAACGCAGTTATTTACTCGATCACTCTAGCTGATTTTCTGACTCACTCTGCTTTATAAAGAATATTTATTGTCAGGATACTGTTACCCTTACTAATTTAAGAAAGTGTAAATAAATGTTATTAGTAGGATTTACTTGATTTGAGAAATCTTGACTGAAAATCCACCTTTAGCACATGATGATGACTAATCTTTCTTTATAAGTTCAAACCTATCCAACTAGTAGTGGAACAGAGTCAAAAAGACAGAAACAGTGTAGGATCTGGCAAAAATTACCTTCTTTTGGAGTTGATACCCTTCACACAAGCCATTTTGATACACAGAGGCAGAATAAATATGTATTAGAAAACTGTAGGGATAAAAGAGTGATATCACTAGCAGTGGAGGAAAATAAATAGGGGAAAAGTCCAGTAAACAAACCAGATTGAAAATGAGATGCCTGAAATCCATGGAAACTAAGGGGATAGACGCATTTGCAGTACTATAACCACTTTATCTAGCCTTCAGTTACCTCTCTCAGTTGTCTTGTGAACTATCATAAGAAAACTCGCGCTTCCCCTTAAAAATTAAATCAACCCTAGTAGACTTGGAAAGTGTATGTTATGCCTTGAACCCAGTGTTTCAAGAAAACTTCCATTCTAATATCACTAGGACGGAATCAATGCCTTATTTCATCTTAAATGTTGAATGTCTGAAGACAGCTATGAATTAACTAAAATAACACAGACAAAATTTCCGACAGTCGCAATAAGCACTGTTAACTCAAACTTTGAAAATGGGATAGTTTTTCGGGAATTGGTAGGTGAAAGCAAGTATGAAACTTCGATTTAAGGAACCTCAAAAAAATAGCTTTCAGTCCTCTAGCTTAACTCTTGAACAAAAAATGTATTGCATCAGATATATTGGTACCCGACAGGAACAAGAAGTTCTATGTCCAGTCAGTCATCCTACCCAATTTACCTTAGTCTAGGGATAACTGGCCGGGCTAATCTACTCTTCTAAAAGTATCATGTACTCTGGCACATTTTCAAACTGTTCTCAACTCTCCATTTCTCAAGTCAAAAGCAAAGCAGGGGAAAAGTGTTACGTTATATGGAAATAGACTTTTCGGTACCCAAAAGTATATTATTGTTCTATCCGTCAGATGCATAGCTTGAGTTACAGATTTTTGTGCCATCTGAACGAACAACCACCAACAAATTACGCTTGCGTTTCTGCTGAGTATTCATGATAGACCGGACGCCTATCCAGAACCACCTAGGTATTTCATATTATCGCCTTGAATACTGTTATTATTGACATCACGAAGATGCAATAACCATTCAGTCTGAAAGTATTGTTCTGAGAGTGAATTTGTTGGAAAATTACATGCTGAAAATTCCATACTATCATACATGTTGTTTAGAATAACGCGATTAGTATTATTATTTCTTGTGAAACGGCTTGAATCACTACCTTGAAACTGTTAAATGATAGACGTATTTATTGAGAGATAAAGCGAACAAACAAGTTACTACGATAACGTATTTAAATGGTTTGATAAAAATTAAATAAATACAAATCGGTTGCAAGTCACAAATTCATAATGAACATGAGTCTGATACCTTCTTCGAATGAAACCCGTCAGTAACAAAAAATAAAACAGCATACTGTAATTAATATAGGTGTAAAACTTGGGCACTGTATTAGGATGTAATTCCATTCCATATTTGTTTATTTGATTTATAACACACAGTGGTCTAGTATTACTTGCTCGAAACATCACCAAGTAAATAATACTAGATCACTGTGTGTTATAAATCAAATGAACAACCTAATAAGAATACTGTAATCTTGTTGCTTAGCTGATCTTTCGGTCCCTGTGTAGAAAGACTTAGATGCAGGCAGTAGACAAGAGCACGTTCCTAGTTATTAGTAAATAGGTCGACAATAACTGTTATTTTCTCATAGGTTTTCTAAACGATGCACAGGTTTTTTAATTTTTGTTTAAACTTTGTGACTTTAAGACACCAACTGGTAAACGTTGGCAAATTTGGTTATGGGTTTTCTAGTAGCTGTATTGCTCTTTATGCTTCATGTGCAGAGTTTTCAGCTTTAGTCTAAGAGTCATCTCCGTAAGGTTCACTGAATACGGCACCTATAGACAAATGAGCGTCAGTTCAAGCACTGGGATAGACTAACAAATATGACACCGATTATGACTTTTAGTTGTAGTTGAACAAAACATTCTAAAGGATTACGTGATTGTGTTGTGAGGACAAACAGATGAAAGAAAGGAAATATTTAAATTACTTACAGATAGTAGTATCGTGAGTTATCTACCCGCTGACAAAATCCTGCTTTTCATTATACTTATTTTCCAGTATGCACTTGTAGAAGTAATTACATAAGAAAAACTATGAGAAGGCCCTCAACTTCTATTTTTGGACGAGTGAGGAGGAATTTGTGCTCGAAGGGAAGTCAAACTTTCATTGGTGTAGTTTAAAGCACTTGGTCCGTGCAAGCTAATAGATCTCTGCGTCTTAAATTATGCGTATGATGAATAAACCATGATTGACATCGATTGAAGAACCATACAAAACCTGTGAGCAGTGAATACTTGTTTTGTTCTAATTTGTTACTCCTCAACAAAGCACACTGTCGATCCCGATAGGGGTTCAGCCTAGGATGTTAAATGTATTACCTCTGTTATATGTTTACTTCAAACTATTTGTTAGCATTAAAAATTTAACTTGTCGACATTGTCACATGATGTCTCGATCAGCAATTACCTGTCTGACACTTTTCCAGTCAAAGTATCCTATGCTTACTGAAGCTTGATCATCCCCAGTTTATAGACTAATCAGAATCTATGGAGGCATGGCTCCTTTTTGATATGCTTGTCTTGATACTGCCCGCAATAAATTCTCGGTAACAGTTAACAGTGGTTGATAGTGATTGCCTGAATACTGAATACGGAATGACTATCGTCACTTACTAGCTTAGTGGAGGCCATTACTGCGAAAACTTTCATTAAAGTAGATTATTGTTGTTTGTGAATATCCACGCGGAAAGGCTAATATTTAAATTGTGAAGCTTCAGTATTACAAAAACTCTGTAGTTTACATTCTTAAGGATTTAGAAGATAGGCAAAAGCACCTAACTACTACTATCGCCTTATTTTCAAGAATTCCTCGACTATCCGAAGCCATCACTTCTGTGATACT